CAACGTTGGGCAAAAAAGCGCACGCTTTTCGTGCACACGTTGGGCCCGCGGTGACAGTTTGAGGGCCCTTTGGGGCCGCTTGCCTACAGTCCTCGGTCCCCTCGCGTTTATGGCCCACCCTTTGCCGTCCGCCCGAAGTGGAGGATATAGGCTGGGTGGGGAAGACCCAGATCTCCGATGATGCGTTGTTGCTCAATCCCGCCAGTTCTCTTTTGCTTTTTACCTCCAGGGGCCAGAGGCAATGACCACACTGATCCGGGACTAAGCGCTGCCCCCACGGGAAATGTCGAGACCTCAGGGGTCTAATCGAGAGAACCTATCTTCGGATATCTGGGGAGGAAGGATGGGGAGGAGGAGGAGGAGGAGGAAGAGGAGGAAGAGGAGGAGGAGGAGGAGGAGGAGCTGGAGAAGCTGGAGGAGGAGGAGGAGGAGGAGGACGAGTAGGAGGAACAGGAGGAAGAGCAGGAGGAGCAGGAGGAGCAGGATGAGGATGAGGAGGATGAGGAGGGGAGGACTCCAATGCACTCTCATGGTGTCGTTTCGGGATCGCTCACAAAAGACAGGGAACTCGGGGGCACACCCCTGGGTGGCTATTCGAACGCACCCCTGTCGAGGATGGACGCCCCCCCCGGTGGGTATCCCTGAGTTTGGTCCACCAGTTGTTGTCCAGTCGAAAACCGCACAGAGTCGGAGATTGGGGTCGCCATACCCCCGTCACGACGTCCAGGACTTGCGAAACAGACCGCTCGGGCGTTTTTTTTCCCAGGTCAGGGCGTGATTGTCATCGTGTGCCGCCTCTTCATCTTCATCATCTCCCCCATCCCTATCATCCTCCATATCCTGGTATTGTTCCCCCTTAGTCCTTCTCCCCATTCAACCCGTTTGTTGTCTTCTGCACCTTCCTTCTCCGCGTATTGTCTTCTTCATCCAGGACCTCACTGCCCCCGTCCTCCTCACTGATCTCACCTTCATCCGTTTCATCTTCTTCATCCTCTCCATCCTCCTCCTCCTGCCATATAGATCGCCCAGGCAAGGCCTTCCCTAGGCCTACCTTAGGGCCTACCCTAGGGCCTTGTCCTAGGCCTACCCTAGGCCTGACTTAAGACCTACCCCTAGGCCTACCCTAGAGCCTGCCCCTAGGCCTACCCTTGGCCCATCCTAGGGCCTACGTCTAAGCCTACCATATGCCTACCATGGAGCCTTCCCCTAGGCCTACCCCCGGAGCCTACCCTAGGTCCTACGTCTAGGACGGCCCTAAGCCTATCCCCAGAGCCAACCCCTAGGCCTACCCTGGGCCTATCCGAGGACCTACGTCTGGCCTACCACATGGTTACCATGGAGCCGTCCCCTAGGACTACCCCAGGAGCATACCCTAGGGCCTACTCCTAGGCCTACCCTAGGCCTGCCCTAGGGCCTACCTCTAGGGCTACCCCAAGCTTACCCCTAGGGCCTATGCCCAGGCCTATCCTAGGCCTACAGTTGGGCCTGTCCCTAGGCCTACCCCTAGGCGTACCCCGAGGGCCTACCCCAGGCCTGTCCCTTGGCCTACCCTACGTCTACTCTAAGGCCTACCACTAGGCCTACCCCTACCCTAGGGCCTACCCCTAGGCCTACTCCTAGGGCTACCCCTCGGGCCTACCCCTAGGCCTAACCTACGTCTACCCGAGGGCCTTCCCCTAGGCCTACCCCGAGGCCTATCCGTAGGGCTACCCTAGGCCGTGCCCCTAGGGCTACCTCTAGGGCTGCCCCCGGCCTTGCCCTCAGCCCGAGGGCGACCCTAGGGCTTACCCCTAGCGTGACCCTAGGCCGTTCCCTTATGCCTATGGTTTGCTTGTGCCCGACCCCGCTCTCCGACCCGATCCGCTCGTCAGGGTCCTTCCGATCTGGCGACGCCGTCCTCCGTGTCGCACCGATCCGACTCCGCTGGACAAATAAAGGTTGGAGAAGAGAGGGAGGGTCTAGAGAGGGGGGGTCGAGAGAGGTGGTGCCGTCAGAAGGGGGGGGGGGTTCTAGAGAGGGAGGGGTCTACACAGGGGAGGTCTAGAGGGGGGGTGTCAAGACGGAGGGGGGTTTCTACAGAAGGGGGTCTAGACAGGAGGGGGCAATACAGAAGGGGGCCTGGACAGAGGGGGGTCTAGAGAGTGGGGGTCTTCAGAGGGTGGTCTAGAGAGGGAGGGTCTACAGAGAATGGGTCTACAGAGGAAGGGTCCACAGAGGGGGGTTTACAGAGGAGGGCCTAGAAAGGGTGGGTCTACAGAAGGGGGGGGGTATAGAGGGATAGAAGGGGTGATCTAGAGAAGGGGGTTCTACACAGTGAGAGCTACAGAGATGGGGTCTACAGAGGGAGGGTCGAAAGGGGGGGGGTCGAAAGAGGGGGGGTCAATAAAGGGGGGGTCTACAGAAGGGGGTCTACTCAGGGGGGGAGGTCTACTGAGGGGGGGTCTGCCCATGGTAGGGGTCTGCACAGTGTAGTGGAGAAACGCGCAGCGCGCGGATGGCTGGATAGAGAAAGAGGGGGGAAGCGAGAGGGAGAGAGAGAGAGAGGGAGAGAGACCGAGACAGAGAGAGAGAGAGAAGGAGGGAGAGGGAGAGCGAGAGAGAGAGAGAGAAACGAGCACACCAAAGAGACGGACACACCGAGAGCGAGGGAGAAAAAGAGAGAGAGAGAGAGCGCGCGAGAGAGCGAGAGAGAACGAGAGAGGGAGAGGGAGCGAGATGGACGGGAGGATCAGGAGGAGGAGGAGGAATAGGATGAACAAGGGGCGGGGAGGAGGAGGAGGGAGGAGGAGGAGGAGGAGGAAGAGCGGGAGGAGGAGGAGAAGGAGGAGGAGGGGGAGGACGAGGAAGAGGATGGAGAGGCAGAGGACGAGGAGGACGAGAACGAGGAGGAGGACGAAGGGGGGAGGGAGGAGAGAAGAGGGCGGAGGAGGAGGAGGAGGAGGAGGAGGAGGAGGAGAGGAGCAGGGTAGATGAGGGATGAGAAAGATGCAGGAGGGCAGAGGGTGGGGGGGGGGGGGCGGAGGAAGAGGCAGGATGGAGGAGCAGGAGGCAGGAGGGAGGAGGAGGGAGGAGGTACGTCAGAGGGACGAGGGAGGAGGAGGGAGGAGGGAGGAGGGAAGAGGGAGGAGGGAGGAGGGAGGAAGGAGGAACTAGGAGAGAGGAGGGAAGAGGAGGATGAGGAGGAGGAGCAGGAGGAGGAGGAGGAGCAGGAGGAGGAGGAGCAGGAGGAGGAGGAGCAGGAGGAGGAGGGAGGAGACAGGAGGTAGAAAGCAGGAGGCAGGAGGGAGAAGGGGCAGGGAGGAGGCAGAGGAGGAGGAAGATGAGGAGGAGGAGGAGGAGGAGGTGAGGAGGAGGTGAGGAGGAGGAGGAGGAGGAGGCAGAGGTTTGATCATTGGGTAGGCCCTACCCTTGCCCTTCCGCAGGCCCTTGTGTAGGCCCTTGTGTAGGCCCTTTGGTAGGCCCTAACCTAGTTTACTTTAGGCCCTTGGGTAGGGCCCACTCATGACAACCCTAGGCCCTTGGGTGTGGCCTATGGTAGCCTTCCTCCCGGGCGACCTGTACCCCTCCTTCCTCCCCACCCCCAATCCTCCCCGTTTGCCTTCTTCCTGCCCCACCTTCCCCATCCTTCCCCCCTCCTCATTCTTCCGCTCCTCGCTGGGGTGGAGGGCCCACGAGACGAGAGCTGCATGCTCTCAGACCCGCTGGGCGTGGCGCTGGGCAGCAGGAAACAGGCAGGACGCGCACGGGAGGGCGCACGCGCCTGCGACGAGGGCCTTGTCCTCTTCTTTCTCACCCTTCTCTTCCCTATGTACCTTCTCCTATGCCTCCTCCTCCTCCTCTCTTCCTCAGGCTCCTCCTACTCTGCCTCCTCATCCTCCTCTTCTACCTCCCCCTTGTCATCCTCCTTGACCTCGGTCCTGTTTCTCCTCATTTGGTGATTGTCGTTCACGGTGTTGGCAGTTCAGGGTCCTCCGTAGGCTTCTAGAGCCTGTGAAGCTACGGAGGCTTCCCATGAGTTCTGGAGACTTCCGGGCATGGTTTCTTCTTTCTCGTATTATCTCCAACGCCAAGGCGTCTTGAAGAATAAGCCAATCAGCCAAGGCTGTATTGCCTCTTTCTGGCCCCAGGAAAATTACGGATCGACCTGGCTAAGGAGGATCCGGGAGATCGTTGCGATGTGTCACAACTTTCGAGATTTGTCGACCCCATCAGATATCAAGACAGGAACGATAACTCTGTAAAGGGGGTGGGCGGCAGACTTTCCCGCAAGTGTTCCACCGTTTTCGTTGCCCCGTGGAGGGCCAGGAACCCTTCGGGCAGCCGAAGCGCGACGATATCATCAAAAGCACAGTTGCCACGAGTGGCTTCCAGCGGACCTTGTCAAAGGTCAAGAGGGGATCCGATTGAATGCATCATTAGATCAATCTAGTCGATCCTTGGCGATCAGTTGTGATATGTTGGCGTTCGAAACGAGGGGTGTAAGTAGAAGTGAAATCAGCATACAGAGCGTGATGAACATGCTATTACCTTGAACCATTAGCGCATGCTCACTTGTCAAGTGGTGAGACTCGATCCTCATATTGAGGGACGACGTGTCGGCGTGCAAACATCGTAACTACAGACTTCAATCTCATGTCAACAACAGTGTCTGAGGAAATAATGGGTTGTACAGTGGCATCATGTCGCCACCAGGCCCGTGTTGCAGGCAAAGGGCACATTTGGCCAAATTCAAAGCCACAAACTATCGCAGCCATGTTCCCAGAGAGTCCCCGTGGAAGTTCCTCAGGAGCATGATTGCGAACCCTACGGCCCCCGAATTTGTTTGCCCTGTGAGCCCCTCTTGGGTGGCTCTCGTTGACCACCCTCAATGTTTTGTTTGTGTCATTGTCCAATGAATGCCCTGTTGAGGAGCCTGCTTCGCGACTCTGCGGCTTCCTGAGGCGTGGGCCTACTGAGGCTCTTTCGCAGTCTCTCGGGGGGGCCTCTTTGTGCCCTTGTTTGGGGCCTCTTCGGGGCGCGTTTGGGGTCTTGAGAGAAATTTCGGGGGAGGCGAGGACGATTTCCCAACCATGCCATTGTTTTTTTTGTCCGTAACCATCTTGGCTCAAGACAAAAGTTGGCGCGAAAGCCTCGACCCTTTGAGTTGTTTCTTCAACGCGGTATACACGACACGATGCTATCCTCGCGCATGTCGCCGTCTTTCGCTTGTGCGCTCCTCGTGCTGTTGCAGCAACAGGGGGCCACTGAGCGCGTCCCTTTGGCCTCATTCGCAGAGACGGTCGACGACTACCGTAGCCGTTCCTTTCAAGTGGCGGCGCACAAAAGCACCGCCGAGGTAGACTTTGGCGATGCCGATGGGGATATCTACGATAACCTCGCTGTGGGATGCTACTGCAGGGTGGTTGATGACATCAGCCAGTGCGGGGACAACAAGTACCCGTCGAACCCAGAGAAGCCGAATGGACCGCGTTTTTTCCATCCGGACGCAGACAGAAAGAATGGGAAGTCTGTGAATCTGTGCTGCAAGCTCGATTGGACATCGTTTTTCAGCTGGGTGGGGTGGTCTTGGAGAAAGCAGGAAGATCTCACACGCTGCAAGAGCGAAACACGCTCGGTCTCATCTAGCTCTTGTTGCCAGCTAAAGGACGAGCACGGTGCATTCGGCGTCCGCATCAGCAAGGCCACCTCGAAGAGCGCAGTGATGACGAAGAGTCGGCATGGCTACCTCCTGCCCAACCCCGTGTTCCTGAAGACGCCTCCGGAGATCGGGCTCGAGGACATCACGGGGGGTCAGGACTACACCGGCAGCGACATCGCGGCCGACGTCGTCCGGGAGTTTGTGGAGATGCAGCTCATTCAGGGGGGCCGCTTCAACGGCAAGCTCCAGTGTGGTGGTGCGCAGGGCTCGTTCGAGGAGCTCGCCGCGGGCACCGGCGCGTGCCAGCTGCGCCCGGGCCCCACGGAGCAGTGCTGCTGCCACTCGGCGGCCGTGGTGGAGGCCGAGCGCTGCCTGCCGGCGGAGGGCGCGGCGACCGCAGAGCAGGCGCGGAGGAAGACGTTGGAGTCGGTGCTCCTGACGAAGACCGAGCACGGCTACAAGGAGGGCAAGCTCGTGGATGCTCCTGGCCCGGACGCGGAGGACGGCATGCAGGAGTCCATCAGCAGCATGCGGGACCCTCTGGTGGAGAACAATCCAAAGACGCGGGCAGACGAGTCCCAGATGGCCTGGAATTGGACCAAGGCTACCAGGCAGTGGACCAAGACATGCCTGGAGCACTTGCAGGTGCCCCACGTGAAGACCACCAGGAGCAGTGACAGGGTGCGAGATGGGCAAACGTGCAGGCAGATCGGAAAAGTCAGGCACTGCAGCCCGAAGTACAAGACCGTTTACAAGACAATCTATCGCCAGGAATACAGGACGGAGTGCGCGAGGTGGCAGTGGGATCGGAAGTGCGCTGCGGGGAGCGGCCTGTACGTGAAGCAGATCAGCCCGGGCGAGTGCGTGCCCGAACCAGAGCGCGCCGGCCCCTTTGCCCTCAACCTCACCGAGATCGGGCCTCTACTGTACATGTGCCCCGACGACTACGTGAGCGGCACCGGCGGCGCGGAGAAGTTCCACGCCAAGTGCCAGTGCCGCCCCCAGTGCGCGTGAGCGCTGACCGCCAGCCAGGACACCGCGATCCCGTCACGGATTCCGCCGCAGTTCCTAGACCATCTATATAGACGTGCTCTGGAGGGCAGCCGCGTGGGATGCACGAAGCACGGACTCCTTTTGTAGCAAGGGTTCTCCCTGAGATCCATCGGTGCGAAAAAACCATGCCACTGTTCTTCTGTCATGATCCCCTGGAGGCCCGCTCGCGGGCATTCTCGGGGACAGCATGGGCCGTCTTCAAGGCAGCTCGGGCTATTCGTCGGCCGTCTTGAACTATCGTAGGGCCGAAAGGCGCGAACGATCGCATCACGCAACGAGATATCGTCTCCTCATTCTGCGCTTCGACGGCGCACTGTGGTCTGGGATTCGGAGTCGAAAGTTGTGGCTCGCACGATTTCATCTCATTGCGATTGCGCGCTCCGTGATGCTCTCGTCGTGATTCCACGCTCGCCTCGCCATTTTGCTTGGTCTGGAGGTGAGGTGTCTGCTTCCGCTTATCCCCTCTTCTTGCGTTGGGAAGGGAAACATCAGCACACAACGAGCTACAGCTCGTGTTTCAATTGTTGGCCTGTTGAGCTGGCCCCACGCTCAGTAAGACGGATCAATATGCCCTCACGCATCCAAGATATCCAGAAATCAGGCGCGTTGAACCATCATGATGCACTTTGGAGGTCCGAGTTCTCAGTCACTCTCTTAGACTTGGGGGGGGGCAAGTCACGCGCGACATCACAAGAGACGATGGAAGCCTTGGGACCAGAAGGATATGTGATCCTCAATAACCTTCTAGGTCGCTAGGACACCTACCGATCTTGATGCCACGGAGCATGAATGCCCTGATGGCATTCCATGACTTGACAGAGGTATGGTGGAGGCTCTGTCAGATTCAGCCCAGCCTAGCAACCTTAGGCAGTTCGTTATAAACACGGGTCAGTCGCTAGGCATGCTTCCGTTACCCAGCCTGAAATTGGAACACTTGATGGAGAAATCGGGTAGGTCAGTCGCCAAACACCGTTGGCCCCAGTCAAGTCAGATTCACGCCTGGAAGCCAGGGGACACATCCACATCTTCGGGAGAGCTCAAGCCCTCCGAGGCGTGATAATCGACAGGGGGCAACAGAAACAGGCGCGAAGGGAATTCTTCTGGTGGGCCTCGCAGGACCACCTCTGCCTGCTAATGTTTCCTCTTCGCCTCCCATGAGATGTTTCGATCCGACCAAAGTTTCGGCCAGCCCCATCCGATCTGATTCCTATATTCTGGCGATCCGAAGCGGCTCGATGTCTGCATGGCGCTGATATGCATCCCAGCGCGGCTCTTTCTGTTCGATCCTAGCACCAGCGCCGAAGCAGGGCGATCCGACGCAAGCTACGATCCGAAACGGTTCCCGGATTCGACATCGACCTATCCCAGCCTCCTCGCCCCGCGTCCGTAGCCATTCGGGCCCGAAGCATCCATGAACCCAGCCTGCGACAGTGCACTTCCACCGCCTCGGCGTGGCGCCCCGTGGCAGCTTCGAGATGGCGCCGCGCGCCCTCGTCAGCCCCGGACATCGGGCGGCCCTGCTGTCTCGAGGCGTGGGCCCGCGGACGTCTCGACCGCACCCCGGGGCCCGGCAGCCTGCATCCGGAGTCGCGGGTTTCGCCGTGAAGGTAGGGCTCGTAGATGGCGTCAGGGGGCGGAGGATCGCGCCGCATCGCCGATGCATCGGCAAGGCGGCTCGATGCGGAGCAAGATTTCCTCTACACGGACGTCGCCGATGCATCGCCGACGTTGTCGATGCATGGGCGGTGCATCGGTAGTGCATCGCAGATGCATCGGCAATACGGCGCGATTCTCCGACTCCGTCTACTCCGACCTCATCTGGGAGGCTTCTGATGGAGGAAAGAGGTCGCGAAGGGAAATGGGCCCTGAGGCTGTTCGTCGTTGTCGGACTCCCAGGGCCTTTCCTGGGCCCTGGGGCCGACAGCAAGCGACGCTGGGTGAAGCGCTGGTCCTGGGGGAGGGCCTCGGAGTGCAGGACCCGTGGTCCCCAGGACACATGACTCCTCTATGCCAATTTATTGATGACCCTGGGTTGCGTTGCATCTTCGGGGGACCTCGCCTGTCCCCCAAATTGGTGTCTTCTTTTGTGCCCGACGCGGGCTCGATGCGGACTCGACGCGGATTTGGCGTGGAGTCGACGCGGATTCGACACGGAATCGACACGGGATCCCACGAGTCCGACATGGATTTGACACGGATTCGACGCGGATAGGGCCGCGACGGGACAGACAAGGTCCCCCGAGGGTGCAGCATAATTTGAGGCCCGAAGCCAGCCTCCAGTGGCCCAGGGCGAACAAGCCGGACGTCCCGATTTTGTGGAGCCGCCGGATGTCTGGGCCGTCCTGATCTTCACCAGCGGCATCGGGCTCGCAGAGGGTGCGCTGCGGTACCTGCGGCAAGGCGAGCAGCGCGCGCAGCAGCCGGTGACGGTGACCGAGGCTGGGGACCACAGCATGGCTCTGAGCGATGGTCAGCGGTGGTTTGGGCTGAACACTGGTGTGGCCATCTACCCGGGCCACGCGGGGCTTTGGTCGCCGTTTGAGCACCAGCTTGGGCAAAGAAAGCAGACCTCCACCCCCACCTGCCCACACCCTTGGGGCCGGCCCAAAGAGTTCCGGCCGCCGATTGTGAGGATGCTTCGCAAAAAGGAACGGAGGCAGTATACCCCGCCCCCACCTCACCTGTGGCCCCTCCCCTCTGGGGAGGGAGGGCAGGTGGTGGTAGGTGTGCTCTTTTGGCCCCCTAGCCAGCACCGTATCAGGGCCGAAGATATTGACCTGGTCGCCAAGCAGGGCGTGGACAAGATATTCGTGGGGAAAGGCATGAATGGCGATGGGGTGGCACAGCTGGAACCCGATGCGAAAGAACGCCTTGCGGAGCTCGAGAAGCATGGCGTCCACCCTTATGTCAGCAACACTCCGACCGCCACAGCGAAGTTCAACGACGCAGTCAAGGCTAGTGCCGATGGTACCGTCGCTGGCCTCTTCCACACTGGCTGCTGACGCGGCAGCAGCGGCTGCTGGCCTGGGCCGCTTTGCGACGCGTGCCCGACACGGGCAGCCGATCCGATTCGATCCGATGCCCCCCTCCGCCTTCGGCTCCGTGCCTCCCTCTGCCGCGGCTGTCTCAACCAGCCTGGAGCTGACCCGCCTCCAGGGCCGTCTGGGCCCTGGCTCGCCTACCAGGGGTCTGGCCTTCCCTTCGTTCTGACGGGATGGGGGGCTTCGACGCCATCAAAGATGGTGGCCGCGCTGGAGAAACAGATCCTCCTCGCCGTCGGGGCGCCGATTCAGCGAACACGTCTGGATGGGAAGGGACTCGTCGATGCTCCTCGGGGCCTCCTCTCGGTGGGACCCCCCCGGGAAATCTCGGCCAAACCCGTGGGAGAAAGTCGCGCCAGGTTGGCCCAGGGCTCAGCACTCTGCTCGGGCCATCCCCCCAGGGCGCGGAGGTGATCCTGCCACGCGGTGTCTCCTGTTGGCGGCGCCCACAAGGGGGTGGCGTGATGGGAGGCGGCCTACAATCGGCCCGGATCTCGAAGGGCGACCCTGCCAAGTCAAGGGTACATTTGTGTCCTGTGCCTCGCGACCCATGCCTCCTGCATGTATTTGTCCTTGTTTCTCATGTTTTGTGTATTATGTCTTCAGTCTTCTTCATTACTTATGATTTATGTTTCATTCGTGGGTATGTATGTCGTATTCTGTATGATACCATATTTCTATGCCTTCATGCAGCCATCCATATGTTTTACTTATTGATTATCATGTCTTATGCCATCTTAGCTATGTATTATTATGTATTCCTTATATACTCTTTCTTCTTTTAATGTATGACTTGCTGCTGCGTATTTCGTGTGTGTGTGTTCTGTATGTGATTAGTTCTTCTTTTTGCTTTATTATGTATTGTTCCTTCTTCCTTCTTGACCATTTGCTTGGTAGTATTCCTTATTCTTCTTTCTTTTTTACTATTTCTTCTTTCTGTGCGTCGGGGCTGTTCGCCTCCACCGATGTTCGGAGCTCCAGGAGGCTCTCCTCGCCGCCCCGCGGCCGCCGAGAAACTCCTGGCCCGAGCGCACCCCGAGAGACGTCGGCGGCGAGGGAGAGGGCCCGGCGAAGGGAGGGACAGCTGGGCGCCCGTGGGGCGACGAGGAGCCGGAGGAACGCCACCCCGACGCCCATAGAGGAAGAGGAGGAGAACGAGGAGGAGGACGAGGAGGAGGGAGGAGGAGGACCAGGCGGAGGAGGAGGAGGAGGAGGAGGAGGAGGAGGAGGAGGAGGAGGAACGCAGAACCAGAGCAAGCCCGCCGCGCGCCGCGGCGTGGCCCGACGTGCGCGGAGGGCGCAGCCAGAGCCCCGCAGGCGCGCTCGGGGCCGTTGATCACACGGCCCTGGGCGTTTACTGAGCTCGGCGGCGAGCGAGGTTGGGGGGAAGTGGGGAGGAGAAGGCCTTCTCAGAAGAGGGCGGGGCTTCTCAGAAGCCCTCGCGCCCTCCGAGAGGTTTTCCTGTGACTTCGGGGAGGGCTCAGAACACTTCTCAGAAGGCCGGGGGATTTCCGAGCCCTCCAGGAAGGCATGCCCCTCCTTGCTTCCCCCTAGGCTCGCCGCCGAAAAACAGCCCTGCCCTGTTCGATTCCTGCCTTGGGTGCGTTTACTAAACGGCTTCTCTCGTCAGGGTGCTAATCATGAGGGCTTTTTTTCTGCTCTCTGAAAACGATGTAGGGAAGACGCCCACGGATGTCGTGCCTCGATCCTCGAGCCTCGAACCTTTCCACGAGGATTTTGGAGCTGGCTGAGGGTCTAAGGTGGCCTGGCACTGGGAAGGGTAATTGCTTTGTTTGGCATCCAGGGGCCGTTGTCGGCCCCAGGACCGTCAAAACCGGATCCGGAGTGAAAAAAAAGGCGCCAGACGGACCCCAGGAAGGGTACAGGGACCGATGTTGAGCGGATTGGGCCTCATCCGTCTTCCTGACCGATTTCCTGAGGGCCCCAACCAATGCAGTTCCCCCAGCCGCCTCAAACCAGGACGCGTTGCCCTCGATGTTCAACGACTGCGTCACTGGAGGGGGTGCGAAGATAATCGCGCCTCGCGCATCGCGGCTTGGGTTGGAGAGGCGCTCTTCTCCAGAGCGGCTGCGCGAGAGCGCGAAGGTAGTGAAGCGCGCGTCGTGCATCGCAGGGCGCGACGCGCGAAGTGAAGTGGAGGGCATGCACCGAACCGTATGGCCCAGGGACGGCCTGGCCAGGGCCAGTGAGGTGGGCAGGAGAAGGGGGAGGAGGAGGAGGAGGAGGAGGAGGAGGAGAAGGAGGAGGAGGAGGAGGAGGACGAGGAGGAGGAGGAGGAGGAGGGGAGGAGATGGCGACAGGAGGAGGAGGAGGAAGAGGAGGAGGAGGAGGAGGAGGAGGAGGAGCAGGAGGAGGAGGAGGAGGAGGAGGAGGAGGAGGAGGAGGAGGAGGAGGAGACGGCAACGGCGGCGACGACGACGGCGAGGGCCGTGACGGGCCGCCCAGGGGACGCCCCCCGAACGCCTCCCCGCCGCCAGGCCCAGGCCCAGGACACGGGCGCCGGCGCGGGGGGCCGCGGGGCTCCGTCTCCGGTGCAGAAGGAGCCCCCCGGGGGTGGGGAGGGCGGGGGGACGGCAGCCGTTCGTCGAAGAAGGAAAAAAGCCATAGGCCATAGACACAAACTTCTGGCGCTCCGCGCGGATTTCTTGAATCCGCGCATGGGGCCCCCTCGGCGGCGTCTCCGGCGCCGCCCTTGCCGCGCTCCGCGCGCCAGGGAGGGGGGTCTAGCGCGGATCCAAGAAATCCACGCGGAGCGCCAAAAGTTGATGTTTACGGCATTTTTTCTTCTTGTAGTTCGTGGGCAAAGAGCATTATTTTCACATCGGAGCTAGACCGAAGCCTGTGCAGACGAAGCGAATTCAAGAAGCATGCACGCGCCATCAAAACGACACGTCGAGTCAACCTTCGGCTCGTTCGAGAGAGAGGGCCACACGGTCGAGCACGATTTTGCTTCGCAGTCTCTTGCGAGGACGAATGTCTTTCTATCTGATTGCGTTTGGGGGCGCATTGACCTCTCCCCCTCAAGATATTGGAACCCACTTGTTCCTCAAGATATTGGGATCCAATTTTGGGCAAAGAACATATCCGTATCCGTGGCTTCGCGGGCTCGGCCCCTGGGCCGGTGCGATGCCCCGCGCGGAGCGTACCCGTGCGACCGCGTATCCGCGGGATCGCGCCCCGGGATCCAGACAGCGACGGCGCGGATACGGACATGTTCGCCTGGGCCGTCTCTTGTCCCTCTAGTCGAGGAGGAGGAGGAGGAGGAGGAGGAATAAGAAGAAGAAGCAGAAGCAGAAGCAGAATAATAATAATAATAATAGTGAGAAAAAGAAGAAGAAGAATAATAATAAGAAGAATAAGAAGAATAAGAAGAAGAGGAGGAGGAGGAGGAGGGAGGAGGAGGGAGGAGGGCGGGGGTATGAGGGAGGTGGGAGGATGGCGGAGGGCGGAGGGCGGAGGGCGGAGGGCGGAGGGAGGAGGGCGGAGAGCGGAGGGCGGAGGGCGGAGGGAGGAGGGAGGAGGGAGGAGGGAGGAGGGAGGAGGGATCGGATCGGATCGGCCTTCACGAAAGCGAGGTGCACGACCTCGACAGCCGGGGGTGTGTGACAACTACTGAGTATCACAGCCCACGACGCCCGCTTTGCGGGCTCATTCTAACCCCGGGACCTGACTGAACCCAGGGCTAGAGAAAAGGACAAAAAAAAGAGGGTCTAGACCCCTCAATGACAGATCGCACCCGCCTCCGTACCTCCTACCCCCCCACCTCCTTGAAGCCGCCGTAGGCGGCAGGGTCCGCGTTGCTGATGACGGCCGCGGGCGGCCCGCGTCGGCGGGTGGGGGGGGGGAAGAAGGCGGGGAGAGAAAGGAAGAGACACGGGGCTCACGCATTGCCCGTCTCAAAGGACGGAGATGCTGAAATCAGCCATGCCTCCACGTCGTCGGAAGGCGAAACAAACTCGACGAAACGATACTCCATCCTCATGCATCTCCAACCTGAGACCCACCCACCCTCATCACGAGTTGCTCACTGCTGCAGCGAACCACCTGTGTAGGTCGGCTTGCACCATAGCAGAGACAGCAGGGGACACGGGCGGAGGTGTGGAGGAAGAAAACAACCCATCAACCCTGACAGGAATCCTTCTACCCTCACGCTCTCTTGTGCGTCGTCGGACGAGGGCCTGGGCACGGTTGGCAGCAATTCTCTGGATTACCTCAGGGGGCAGGACCAAAGGTGGAGGAGGAGGGGGAACAGGATTTGGGGGCGTCTGGCCCGAGAGATCCCGTGCAGTCTGACTGGCAGTCGTAGCAATGAAATGAGATCCCTCAAGCTCTTCGAGCTCCGAGGAAGGGACAGACATGCCTGCTTGAGGTGCATTCAAAATGCGAGCAATTCTGCCCAAATCGGACGGTTTAGCCCGAGGAAGGGCCCGAACAGCGAAATCTGGACCCATCACGGGGTCCTCAGAAGAAATTCTTGCAGAGTCCTGAAACAATGCACGCAGCTCAGAAATCTCCTGTTCCTCATTCTCCGATGGATCGAGCAACGCGGACTGTCCAAGGAGAGACGGGAGGAGGGAATCGAGCATGGCGTGGGCAATGACTGAGCAGAGACGAGCGGGGTATACCTTCTTGGGCGCGCTTCTCCATCGCTTTAGCTCATGATCCCAACCCGCCATGGGCGGATGGCCTCCTCGACCGTGGGAACACCTGCCTCCACCTGGTGTGTCTCTGAGCTTTGCCTCAAGCGATGGGAGCCTCACCCCAAGGATCCCCGTGGGGGCTCTCCCCGATTGCCCAAACTCACATTGATCAAAAACTGAAAAACTGGACGACGGCATGGCCAAAAGCGCTTTGACAGGGAGGATGTGCCAGCTGGGAACGCACCTGGGCTCCCAAACAGGGGGGGCTGGGTGTTCGTGCCATCCTACACCTTTAGCTATGGCCATCGTGGCCAACAACTCAATATGTGCCTGAAACAAATCGCTAGAGACCGAGACTTGAACCCGATGGGCAGGGCTAATGCCCGTGATGCCCCACACAGCCTGCCAAGAGCGGAGTGGGGGGGGGCGCCTTCCCTCCACCTGGCGATTGAAAACATCTCGCAAGGCGCCCCCCCCCCCCCCCAAAGCTAAAATCCTACCTGCCTTAATGTGTTCTGCCCAAATCTGGACCGACACAGCTCTGGTTTAATCGCCCTTCTCCCTACCC